TGGTGAAAGACCAAATGCTTTACAAGTTTTGAGGTATAAGGAGGCTATATATATATACACCGAAGCAGAGGCGTGTTTCGTTAGACTCGAGCCTATGACCTTATTAAAAATAGATTGTAGACGTCCCATCTATAGAAAACATACCAGGATAGTTGGGTTTTTTTTTCTTTTGTCAAACGCAGAATATATAATTGGTTAAACCCTTTGATAATTTCACAACTAAAACTTAACAAACTGCCAAACGAAATAACAAAAAACTTGACCCCAAAAAATTTGTTAGCTAGCTTGTTCTTCTCTGTCTATTCAAATAATAGCCATGATTAAGTATATGGTTTACTACTTTTTATTTAGTTTTTGATTATCTTCAGTATCTATACTAATTAGTATATTTTAATTGGTCCACTGAACGTTAAAACTTTACAATATAGACTAAATATCTGAAATTTTAATTTTCTTATAAGTGAAAATGAATACCTCCAATCATTTGCTTAAAGGACTTACTTGGATACAATATATAAATTAAGTGAGGATCACTACTCACTATAGCTATGTTTTCTTTTAAGTAATGCATACTCGCATTCACTTTATTTAATCTATTAAAAGTATAGCCATTTTTTTCTCAATATTTTCTATATATTAAAGGAGAAATATTTTTGGCCACTTTTACTTATTTATCACTCCCACAATTTTTCTAAACTTTTTTTTTAATAATAAATCCTATGACAATTATCTCCTACTGTCCAAACACTCTTATTAGCATTTTTTTATTTTTGTATCTAATTCTTTTATACTCATTGCCAGACACATTTATTTCAAAATATTACATACCATTACTCTAAATACAATTGTCAAACAAATTTGAATATTCATAAACATGTCAAAAAAATTATTTTGAAATTTAATATTAAATCTCACAATTAAATCTACATACAAATTATCTATATATAATTTTTCAAAAATTCAATAAATAAGTTTTCATATTTATTTTTGAAATCTATGAACATGTAAAAGAATTTTTCAAAATAAATTTTAACAATAGTTGATATATAACTAAATACATTTTAGATTGAAAACAACATTATTCGATTTTATTTGAAAAAATATGTGTTAGCAATTAAAAATTTGGTAAATACATAAAACATACGAAAACTAAAACTATGTCAAGAATTAGTAGATCAAATATACTGAGATAAAATACTGCTAATTAATTCAAAAAATATAAAATATATAAAAAAATAATATTTTTTAGTAATTTCTAACTTTTTCGGTTCGGGTTTGTATAATTAGATTTCATTTTGGATAATTTATTATATAAATTTTTGTACCCATTCGAATTATTATATATTTTGTTCTGGTTCGAATTGTTGAGTTCTGATTCGGTTTGATTTGTATATTTTGTTATTCATAGGTGAAACACATTACTATACAAATTAAAAAGTAATTGTAAATTTGAATATACACAAGCAAATTTGAATTTCATTTTTGTATATTCATTTCATTCCGCTCACAGCGCGGGTACTATCTAGTTATATTATAAATGTTAGCTATTTGGCTTGTTTACTACGTACAAAGTTAATTGATTGTTTTGTTTGTAAGCAAACACCACCAAATTAGAATACCAATGGTCAAAAATTATTATACTGAAATGAATGGCAACAGCTCTGAAAGATAGTGATTTTCTCTACAAAATAGCACCCTGTGTGATTCCGGATGTTGCGGATCATAAGCTGATATTTTTTATGGCTCCTAGAGTTATTACCGTTTCAATAAAGTATTATATACGTTTTTCCATATGATTTGCTTGTATAAATTTGAAATTAGGATATCAAACTATTGGAAGTATTTGCAGTGATCACCACCACCATCCTAAATACACACCAAATCGTTTTATTTATATAAGTACCGATTTCATCAGCTCAATATCGAGTAATCTACGTACCTTATACAACTCACACGTCAAGAACCTTTGACTCGGATTCTTTTTTATGTTCATAATTTTAAAATATTTGCCATTAAACCACAATCATACATTTTTACCTCTTTTAGATTTGTTCATAGGAACATTAGAGGATATCAAATTTAAATTCATCTACCATGAAACATATAAACGACTAGATACAATAATTAGTTTCTTCACTTTTCCCACAAATTTATCAAACCGATTGTTCATCACTTTTATCTAAATTGAGCTCCAACAAAGTATAAATAGAAGAATCTCACCTATTTGAATGCTAATTCCACAAACTTTCTTCTTGCACGAACAATTTTTTTTGTTTCTCTTCTTTCTCATCCCTAATCGCGAAAAATCTAGTTGGATAGGAAGAACCGCGATTTTTAACAAAAGAAGATGTAGTCTTGGTCGAATCGGTTGGTTGTAGCTTACTTTTGTATTGTATTGGGTCGGACTAAAAAATCACTCAGTTTGTCTTAGGTATAAGTTAGTTCTAATTGGATCAGTCGAATTTAACATTTTTG